ATGCTGGCAAGCACAGTAATGCCTGTCCATGGGGGGTGTCTGACACCAGCCTCTGGGCCTGGCCTCCTGAGGCAAGCTCTGCCCTGCAGCCCAGGCGTAGGCTGAGCTGTGCTGCACAAAAATGCTTGCTGCTGCAGCAGCTGTACCTGGCCCCGGCCCAACAAGTGGCTTCGTTCTGGGTGCAACGGCCTCAGTTTGCAGTGCCTCGGTGGGTCATGCTCTCCAGTTTAACATGAGGCTGCTATGGGGGCTTGTTCTTAACACGCTGAGAACTGGAGTCAAACGGTCATGTAGGTCCCTTACCCCTGGCAAACTTGTTGGCTGCCTGGGGGTGAAGCCAGGCTGGAGGCGAGACCTGGGAGCGCTTGAAAACTAGTGGTGACTGTGGGGAAAGAAAAGCCCAAGCTGCTTTAACCACCTGGCAAGAGCAAGAGGTTCAACATAGGCTGTGTGCTGCTTGCCCTCCCCAGCAGGTCCTCTCCAGCCCACTGGGACACGGCCCTCGTGCTGACAGCCCCCTGCTCTGCTCCTACCTCTCTGTGCCACACTGTGGGTGCTACCTGGCTGCAGCCCCAGGCTCCCTCCCTGGCCCTGAACGCTTCCCTGCATCCTTCCAAAAGCTTGAGTTTCTGTGCTCGGCTTGCTGTCTCCCTGCATCCACCTCCGCCTGTTGCTCCTGGCCTGGGATGGAGGCTGTGCCCAGGGGTTGCTCCCAGAGCATCTGCTTCTGGATCTGCAACATGCATTTCCTCTTCCAGAAATGTTAATGCCACAGTTGCGTGCATGGGGGTGTGATTCAACGGAAAGTGCTTCTTCATGGCCAGGTCAAATCCCCTTCCTTCTGCTGCAGCTCTCCCTCCATATGGCTGAAGCTGTCACCTGGGAAGGACCCATCCATGAGCAGGGGGGAAGGAAGGATTGAGCAAGAGAGCTCGAAGCAGGGCCCTTTCCCCCTTCCTCTTGTGCACACACCTGCGCCCATGTCAGGGTGCAGCATGCTGCTCTGGGGGGCTCCAGTTGCCCTCCCGCGGGAAAGCACCGAGCCCGTGCCTGGGCTGTGCAGGTGCTGGGGCAGCACCGTGGTGGCTCTTGCTGACTTAGGGAAGCAGCAGGGGAAGCAGTAGGGCTGCTGTTACTCAGTGGGCTCAGAATAACCAAAAACCCACACCGGATGCAGTGACCATGCTTCCCACCCTGCTCCTTGCCCCAGCCGCCTGGCCTCAGCCCTCCTGCAGCCAGCCCCCGGCACTGCCCGCAGGAGGTGGGCAGGGGTGCTGCACCCACCAGTGCCTGCTCATGGAAACCCTTCTGCAGGAGGGAGCACGTGCTTCAGTGGGGAGAAGCAGCATTTCATGAGCTTATGCAGATACCAGCTTCCCCCCAGCTATTTGGGTTGCACAAGGCAGCCCGGCATCCCTCCCCGTCCCCACACAAGGCACAAGGACAGGGTGCTCTGCCCAGGACGACATGGGCGTGGTTGGCCCAGCTCGGGGACTAAAACCCCCAGAACTAATTTTGGTAGCGCAGGAAGTGAGTGGCCGGGGTGCTCTTGCGGAGGGACAGCCCATGGCTCCAGGGCAGTAACTCAAAGCCACCGCTGCCATTGCTCTGGCCTTGGGAGAGCAGTGCTATTGCCCAGGATGAGCAGAGGTGGCTCTCGAAGGGCACATCTGGAGGTGCTGCGTGCTCGGCCCTGGTCCTGCTGCAGGGACCTGGCCTGGGGCACGAGAAGCAGCACAGGCTTCAAAGGATTTGAAGTGCATTCCCACCACACAGGCACATTTTGCTCCACATTCCCACATATCTGGGACCACCTGTCCTGTGGTGCCACCGGGTCCCTCCTTTCTTCCATCCTCTCTCTTTCTCTTCACTGGGAGAGGAAGAATTTGGTGTTATGGGGGACGGGAGGTTATTGTGCAGCTGAGTCTGGTGGCCGGAGCGCTGGCTCCCACCTCTCCCTCTGCGGCCAGGCTCACCAGCGCTCCTTTGGAAGGCGTTGCTCATCCCTGAACACCCCGCGGCTGAGCCAGGGCCCCCGAGGCTGCTGCCGCACCAACCGTTTGGAGCGTTTCCCCACAGCGAGCAGGAAGCCTCAGCTTCGCACCTCGGCGGGGGCGGCATCCCGGGCGCCAACGAGCTCCCCGGGGGCAAAGGGCGGAGGGGGAGAGCCGGCCCACCGGGGGCTGGATGGG